AACAATATAAGGGAGGAGGAGGAGGAAGAAGAGAAGTAGAAGAACAAGTACAAGATAAACAAGGGGAACGAGAGACCAAGAATAATATGGAGAAGAAGAAAAAGAAGAAAAAGAAGAAAAAGAAGAAAAAGAAGAAAAAGAAGAAAAAGAAGAAAAAGAAGAAAAAGAAGAAAAAGAAGAAGGGAACTCACCTGAACACCACTGAAGCCACTGGAGGGTATTGCAGCCTTCAGGGAGACAGCTCCAGTGCTGGGGTTGATCTGGAAATAGTCCTGGCCCGGTCCCGGATTGATGATGGAGTAAGTCACTGTGCTCAGGGGAGGCTGAAACATAGAAACATGCTGCTTCAGCTATACAGTATACAGGTTGGGAAAATTACACAAAATTTGAATTGGGTCAGGTTTTTTTTGAGTGTGCATTTTAGTAAGAGTTTTACGGCACTTGCAACACAATAAGGTCATATAAGTGCCGAAGATTAGAGGCATTGCAAGATAGTAACAAACACAAAAAAAGAAGGAGAGATCAGGAAGATAGATGTTTGGAAGGAAAGAAGGAGCAAACAACATCAACAACAACAACAACAACAACAACATCAACAACAACAACATCAACAACAATATCAACAAAACCAACATTAACAACAACAACAACAACATCAACAAAACCAACATTAACATCAATAACAACAACAATAACAAAATCAACATCAACAAAAACAACAACCACAGCCACAACACACCTGAGTGTCACCATCCACGGCCGTGACAGTGGCAAAAGTAACACCGAGGGGCTGCGTGTAGTCGATCCTGACAGGAGCATTGGCATTGCACACAGGAGACTCCAGGTTGCGGTTGACGGTGATAGTAACAGCTGCCGTGTTCTCCAAGGGTGGGGTGCCGCCATCTCTCACTCGGAGGGTTACCTGGAACGCGATTAAATGGTCGCTTTTTAGTTTTAGTAAGAAGTTGGGTTTTTTTTAGTTTTATAGAGGTTCTACGGCACTCGCAACTGCATAAGGTCATATGAGCGCCAGAAGAATAGAGGTGTTACAAGAGAGTAAGAAACATAAAAAAGAAGAAGGGGAGATAAGGACGATAGATGTTTCATAGGAAAGAAGAAGCAAACCACATCAGAGCATCCGCCAACCACCCATTGTAAGAGGTTTACAGCACTTGCAACACAACAAGATCATATGAGAGCCGAAGAATAGAGGTGTTACAAGAGAGTAACAAACACAAAAGAGAAGGAGGGGAGATAGAGACGATAGATTTTTTTATAGGAAAGAAGGAGCAAACCACACCAGAGAACTCGCCAACCATCCACAAAGGATAGAATAAAGCAAGACGGAGAGACAAGCAACATAAGGATAGTAAGGAAATAGGTCTAGCACAGATGCAGAAAGGTATCTTTAGATTGACAAAGTGTATTTAGTTTTGTAATATTGTGCTTAGGTGCAAGGTCGTGAGAGGGCAAAAGAATCAAGTGTGCGTTTTATATTGCAAGAGAGAGAAAGGGAG